TCAGAAATGTACATTATTGGGAGTTTTGGGCAAAAAAAAAAAAAAAAAGACTTTGAATTCCAATAAGCTAAATTACATAGAAAGGGCCTTAATATACATTAAAAGATAGGTGAATAAATGTACCTTTATATGTTTTAGGTTAAACTTAAATGTCTATTGTATTTTTCCCCAGTTAATCAGCAACCTATTAGTCCCAGCCAAATCTGATAAGATTTCTGACTTCACAGCCTAGCTGTAAAAATTAAATTACAGAGGGCTAGGGATATGGCTCAGCTTCCTGTCTTACTTGCTCAAGGACCTGGATTCAATCCCCAGCACCACCAAAAAAAAAAAAAAAAGAAAGAAAGAAAAGAAAATTAAATCACAGAGAAGGTGTAGAAGTGTTTTGGTGTTTTGCAAACTATAACATAAAACATAAATGGAAGCTATCATTAAAAATGCAATAAATATCCACCACAAAATTTAGCCCTTCTGACAATATATTTATGACAAATATAAACCAGGAAAAAAGTAGAAGTTTAAGAAACTCATTATTTACTGAGCACTTAATTGGAAAGTTACTGATGTAGTTAAACATTCATTCACAATGTGGGAAAGAGTGCAATAGTTTCTCCTTATCTTCAGGGAATAAATATGTTCTAACCCCCCCCAGTGGATGCTTGAAACCTTATTCTGAAACATTGGCAATGTTAATTTAGGATTTTTCTTCTCTCATTAAGAACTTTCAGTTAAGTATTTAGAGGTTTCTTAAGCATATTTAAATTGCTAGTATCATTATTATTATGCTTTGAGGCCATTAAGTAAAATAAGGATTACTTGAAAACAAGCACTATCAACACTGCAACCATGGATCTGATAATCGAGAGAGTTACTAAGTGACTAATGAGCAGGTAGCATATACAGCACGGATACACTAAAAAAAGGGATGATTCATAACCCCAAGCAGGACAGTGTGAGGTTTCATTTCACTACTTGGAACACCACTGTTTAAAACTTATGAATTGTATATTTCTGGAACTTTCCATTTATTATTTTCAGACCACAGTTAATTTTGGATAACTGAAATTGCAAAAAGTAAAATCATGGATGTAGGTGGCAGGTGGTTACTTTGCTCAAAAGAACAGATACACCCTCATAGTCGGAGGTCTGGTAGACATCCATAAAAAGGAAATACAAAGGAAGAATATGTTCAAGTCACAACATCGGCCATAATCCTCACTTAACTATTAACAAGTAAAAATAACTTCCATTATTTTAAACTACCAAATAAATACTTTTGGTGTTGTCTATTTACCATGTTCTTACCTGGCCTTCCAGGAACTGTGAATCTTGTCCACAAGAGAGCACACAGTGCAATATGGCCATCTTCTCACAATCTAGGGAGGTGTTCCATAGGAACCGCAATAAATAGGACTGGTCAAAGAATGCTCTGTAGAGCCTTCCAGAATACCAATCCAGTACCAGGGATCCTGACAGGGACTGGAAAGAACTATGAGGTAGCGTATCATTTGTTTTGTTATTTTCTGGAAAAAAAAAAAAAAGTCAGCAGATAAAGGAAACTTTTCACACTCAAACATAGATACTAAAGTCAAAACAAATCCAAATGAACCACATTCATGGGAGAAAATACTATCCCTACCTGTCAGAAATAGACTGTGGCAGATCAAGTCTGGATGTTGAATGTTAAGTAAATGAAAGAAATGACCAGGTAAGTAAACAGCCACATAACGTTCTGTAAAAGACAAAGATTCAAATCACCTATAAGTGGTAAAACCTGTACAGGTTCACATAAGGCCCAGAACTCTACATTATCCCAATTTTTCAATGAACCTCTCAAAACACAAAAGGTTTTACCATGTAATAACAAGTTGTCTGATGCTAGTTTATTTCATAGGACTAACCAGGTCTCCTTTTTTTCTATCTGTGGCGAATTATCTTCAGACATTTAGCATTGGTTATCTAAGTTTATACCTATAGTTTTGTTCCAAGTCATGCATGGTTTTATTTCAATCTAAATGATCTCTCAGAGGAAACTAGAATCAAAATTACCAAGCAACATGAATCATTCCTCAATCTGACAAGTTGGGAATAGCTTATAATGGGATTTTCTCCATAGTCAGGCTGGGAGAGCTCTGCAGTTTAGTTTCCCATCTTTGTCACTCCTAGTCGTCACCACCATCTTGCATAAAGAAACCATGATACTCATCAAGGTGATCTCTATGGCATCCTGACATTTTTGAAGTACTAATTTGTTTCTTTGCATAGCTAGCTGCTTAGAATTCATAACTTAGTGGTTCCTTTGCTAGATATTTGTGTAGCCAGAACATTTTTACCCAGATTGAAACATAGTATAAATATAGGTTTCTGGAGAATGGGAGGGTGGAAGGAGCTCTTGTCAATAACTTTTCTAGGATCTTAAAAAAAATAAATTTGTGTGGTAGTAGTGAATTTCATATAGGAGAAAATTTTCAATTTTGAGTTAGCTACATTTCTTTCTCAAAGAAGAAAAGAAACCTATACTAACCAGTGGCATAGAAAGCATTCTGTGGAAAGGAAAGAGTATAAACCAATCAGTTAAGTGTCCTTTCACATGGACTGAGTGAAGTTAAAGTGCTTCACACATAAGCTAATAATCTTACTATCGTGTCAACATTTCAATTGGAAAAACAAGAGAAATAACCTAGTGAAACGTAGTGGAAAGGGTTTAGGCAATTAAGATGGTACTAAGTCCCTGGGGCAGGGACATTTAAAAATGTATTATTTGGGGTTATCACCATCATTAGGATAGGGTGGGGGATTCCTCCTGGTATTTGTTGAGTGGTGCCCAGGGGTGTTCAATCCTCACTGTACAGGACAGTCCCACCCAAAGAATGATTCTCTCTTCAAAAATTTTGGTAGGACCTGTGGTAAGTGGAAAGATGACCCCTAGGAGTATTCATATGCTAATTTCCAGAGCCTGTGACTATTGTAGCTTCTGTAAATGGAAGGGACCTTGCAGATATGATCAGGATCTTGAGATGGGGAGAGTACCAATAGCGGACCCAACATGATCACAAAAGTCCTCATAACAGGGAGGCAGAACGAGACTGGACTATGGAGGAGAAGAGGATCACATAGTGACAGAGCAATCGGAGTGATATAATTGAGATGCTGGAGGAGGCAAGGAACAAATTCTTCCTGGAGTCCCCAGAGGGACCCATTCCTGCCATGCCTTGATTTCAACCCCTCAGCTCTCATTCTGGACTTCTGACCTCCAGAGGTTCAAGGCAATGTCTGGGTTGTTTTAAGCCCTCAGGTTGTGGTATATTACAGCAGCAATGAGAAACTGACCTAGTATCCCTCCTGAGGAACAATGAAAGAAGTCCAGTCACACATCTCACCCTTTCCAGCTTTGGTTTCATTATCTGTAAAATGGGGATACCCTCACCAGGCAGAATTGTAACAAGGACCAAAATAATTTAAATAAAATAGTTAGCTTCTAGTATTCATTAAATAATAGCTTTTTAAAAATTGCTCTTAAATTTGAGATTTATGTGTTTGTTTTATACTAGGGATTAAACCCGAGGCCACTTAACCACTGAACCACATCCCCAGTCCCTTTTTATATATTTTATTTAGAGACAGGGTCTCACTAAGCTGCTTAGGGCCTTGCTAAATTGCTAAGACTGGCTTTGAACTTGTGATCTCCTGTCTCAGCCTCTTAAGTCACCAGGATTATAGGCGTGTGCCACTGCACCAGACTAGCTTTTGTATTTTTAAGCATAGCTCTTATGTAGATATGTTTAAGGCTCATGGAAATTTGTTAAATCTTAATATTTCTTTAATATTCTGTAGAAGAATCAGTAGAAGACACATTTTAACTGGGTAATGTTACATAGAAATTATCAGCAACTAATAGCAAAACATATATCCCTCAAACAAGTACTACTGTTGTATTAAAATCCCCTCTAAAAGAGTTTAAGTCTTTTGGTGCCTATAAACCAAAATGTGCTCCAGGAGAGAGAACTTATGTCAAAACAGCCTGTTTTTTACAAAGCTCTAGTATTCCTGCCCTCTGTACACTCTGAAGATCATAAATTAAATCCTGCCTTGCCCTTTCCAAGTCATTCCCAGGAGGAAAAAAGAGGAAGAAACCCTTGCTCTCATAAAATGCTAGGTTATTTTTGTGGGACGTTTCCCACACCACTCTTGGGCGTGCTGACTCAGCACTCTAGTAAGACTCAGGTCCCAGACGCAGGAGCCTTATACTTCTCTCCCTGTCAATTGAAGCAGTGGAGCCAGGCCTCTCTAAGGCCATTCTCCGCAGGTTTTGAGATCATGTTAAAATTTGCTCAGATTGGCCAATTTAGTATCAAATACTTAACTATCAATAATATCATTCAAAACAAAAATCTTAGGGACTGAGGAATATAGCGCAGGTGTAGAATGTTTGCCTAACATGTGTAAGGCCCTGGGTTCAATCCCCCAACATTACAATATAATAAAGTAGTTAAAAAAAAAAACAGTCTTTGTATGCACTTACCATTTATGGGTTCTTACTTCTTTCAGTCCCCTCACATTGTACTTATCTAAACCTTTGTCATGACAGCAGATTGGAGCAGAGGTCAGGGATGGGGAAAGATATCAAGGAATCCTATGCTCTCAAGCTGAAGCTTTCCTTCTTTAAATATTTTGCCATTGCTTGTAAATGGAATACTTTCTATAAGATGTTCCTTTACTGTTACCTAACACAATTACATGAAAGCATCTTTTGTAATATATTTCAAGTTCTAATACTACCAAGTCAAATGTACAAAAACTCACTGACCTCAAAGTGACTGACACACTTCACATATGTAAAAGTAAATCATAAAATAAGAGTTATTAATACCATAAACTAATAGAATACAATCTATAAATAAATATTGTGCCATTTCCCATATGTAGGCAAGTAACTATTTCATAGTTCTTATACTAAAAACTCTGTGTCCACATTCCAATTGGCCTAGAAAAGCACCTTTCAATATGGAAATACAATAAACACCATGAGAGTCCCCTAATACTCCCAAGTTTAACATTCATCTGGTTCCCATCGCCATATTTCCTCAATGAAAACAACTCACTTTAAGCTGGTCGTGAATAGAACCCATAAGCCTTATCATAAATAGCAAAAGGGAATGGACAATTCCTAAAAGGCCCTGACCTTTTGGGTCAAGATGATGTATTACTTTTCATAGGCTGTTAGGGAATGTGTTATCCAAGGTCATCATACATCAACACTAACAAATGTTCTAAGGACTGCTACCAAAAGCATAAGCTCAGAGCCTACGTTTTCTAAAGGGGGAATATACACTCCCACCACAAAAGCTAATGGAGTCAAATGGAAGGGTGTGTTTCAGAGAAAACCTTCTCCCATCAGATATCAAGAGGATTGGTGAGTGTCATCACAAGCGGAGTCTCAAAGAGGATGAGAAAATGAGGTGCAGAGAAAAGAAAATAAGACCGTGAAAGCTGAGACATAGCATGTACTGGGAGGTCAGAACAGAGAGAGAACATCTCCTCATCACCCACCAAGATTGAGGAAAGTAATGCCTTGTGTCCCATGTGAGCCAGCACTCCCAAGAGCAGCAGTGAAGGTCTTGCTGTATCCTGGAAGCCAGAGAAGGAATGTCAGAAACAACTGGAACTGTACTTAAGACAGTGACTCTAGGTAACACTCTCAATTTCAGTAACCAGAGAAATGACTGAATCTGGTAGAGCGAGCACCTTGTGACTTCTCCATCTCATGGGGGCCCTCATTCTCATAGGAGCCTGCACTAAGGTGGATCGTCTGAGTGCAGGCACAACCTACTGGTTGCTTTCAGCTCCTATGTAACCTTAGGTCATAAGAAGTGGATTAAATTGTTCAGGGAGAAAAGGATCCAAAGAAATCTACTTAATAATCTAAGAGATGGAGAATATCAGATGGCTCATTAGCCCTCATGCTTCGAAGCTCACTGCCACACTTGTAGGCATTAAGACCCTCTGACACTCTGAGTAATAATCCCACTTTTAGTTAAAAAGGGGATTGGGCTACCATTAATCCCAGTATACTGGATTTCACTCTACTATTCTAACTTAGTCTCCAGAATAGTTCATTCACTGGTTTTAATCATTAACCATGAGAAAAATGTATGGAAACATTCCACAAAACTTTACATTTATACTATGTAGGTATGTATATATGTCCAGTTGTAAAGTTACTTTTAGTTTCTCCACTATTAAGTTTTTTAAACTCATCTGCCTTGATCTCTAGCACCTAGGTAATATTAGGCACTCCTGCAGAATAATGAATTGTGGTGTGTCTTGGCATAAATATTTTTTAAATATTTGAGGGGAAAAAATCCAACTTTAAAAAAAATTTAGTTCCACCCATAGTACTACACAAATGCTAATTTTGAAGAACTAAACAAATAAGTACTCCCTATTATGGTTCAAACTATAACTGTGAGAGGGCATGCTATGACCTACTGCAAAACTGGAAAAGGTTGGGCATTTGCTCCTGCTCCCCAGCCTATTGCCTAATCAATAGCTCAGGGCCACAGACGTATAAAATGAAATAAACACATCTTAGGTCTAAAGGTCAGAGATCACAATTTTAGCTTAAAACTAAAACCTGATGTCACTGTCTGATTTAAAGCTATAGGTACTTTCCAATTAGTAACAAAAGGCAAACACACATACTCTAGGCAAATACATCTATTAGGATTTGTTCATGGGCCTAGAAAGACATATATGCCAGGACAAAAAATATATATAGTATATAATATTTAGCTAATTTAATATTTATCACTAGTGAATTTCTTCAGGAAACATGTATTATGTAGGTATATAGGAATAGAATGTACTGATAGAAGTAGTAAGGCTTTAAAAATCTAATTTGCCACTATTTGAAAAAAGCAATTATGTAAACTCTAATAAATATAAAGTACCTTTATGAAAGTAAAACACTGAATATGTGATTTGTTCCCAAGAGTCAAACTTCGGGCTGTAACATACACACAAGCTTCCTGGAAATAAGAACATATTTAACAGAATTTAAAAGAATCTGTGTAATAGGTAATTTTCCTAAGCCGCTTAGCCATTCTATTCCTTTAGGTATCCTGCCCCCATCTTACCACAGATTATTCCCAAATTCTAAAAGTGGCCAATTAACAAGTTGCTAAGAAATTTCAAATTAACAACTATTTAGCATCAACAATTATAAGCAATATGTTGTGGGAAGTGACTGATGGGTAGAAAAATGAATAGAGATGCTATTATATCTGAAATAATGGGAGTCTAGAAACATCTCCAAACTTTATGAAATTCTCCTACTGTGCATGTACTGCCCTGTCCTTTTATCTATCTTGCCTCTTTCAATCATTACTAATAGTAGAGACGCCAGTTTATAAAAAACAAAAAACAAAAAAAAAAAACAAACATATGTTCCCCTCTTTACAGAAGTTGTCCAGTCTTGTTTATTTAGACTAAAAGGTAAACTGTAATCTCTTATGGAATAGTAGCAGCAAATTTGGTGTCTGAATCCATGCTCACCCCTATTTGGATCACTGAAAGCTTATCCCAAAGTAAGCACCTGGTATGGAGTGGTCTTTCCAAATTAACCCAGAATTCTTCACTTACCCCAACCTCAGAAAACCCTCAACCTTCCCATCTCCATGTGGAAAACTGTACATTATCTGTACAGTTGTTGCTAACTAGATAGAAAAATGTCCACCAATGATGTACAAATGAGGGCATTATGCTTAAAATAACTCGGGTTGAATTTGCTTTTCTGAAATGCCTGGAACCAGAAGTAATTCATATTTTGGATTCCACAAATTTGGAATATTTTGATAGGCTTTACTGGTTGAGTATCCCTAATCTGAAAACCCAAGATGCTCCCAAATCTGAAACTTTTTAAGCATCATTATCAGGGCTCAAAAAGTTTCAGATTTTGGAGCATTCATCATATTGGATTTTTAGATTAGGGATACTCTCCTATGTTAACATTTATGTGACAGACTGAAATAGGACATTGTTGAATAGAAAGAAACTTGAAAGACGTCAGAAAACTAAGGTTCTAGTCCCAGAGCCAATATTAACTAGCTGTGTGAATTCTATCACCCCTATACCTTAGTGGCTTTTAATATTTTCTTTTTTATTCTCTGCTAGTTTCTTTATAAAAGAATCATGGAAGGAGAAAAATGTGCATTTTCTTAAGGAAGACTATTCAAGGACATTTATAAAAATCCCGTTACAATATTCCACAGTTGTATTTTAATGACATTTAAAATTGTAATGTATTGTTAGAAGTACACTTTATTGCAAACAGCTTGAAAATACAAAATTTTAAAAAGCTATCGGATAAAAATGGTAATGATTCTGCTACTCTTATGGTTACTGATCACCCAATAACAACTTTTCTTTAAATTACAGCACTTACTTAGATTAAAAGTAATCTACTACTAAAGCATAAGAAAATAGTAACCATAGGAATTACAAAAGTGCAGAGTACCACTTTGACTACTTTCCTCCAGTAAGCATTATAAAAAACAACCCATTATATTTTATCCTAGGATCACAAGGAGTAAGAAACTGCTAGCAAGCACAGATAGAAAAAGGAAGCCTCTCTAGCAATAAAGAAAGAAAAAATAAAGCAAGATACTGTATTAATCAGCAAAATTTTCTTAAAAAATAATAATAATAATGTGTTGTCAAGGAAGCAGTAGGAAGAAGATTCTTGAGGAGTGCTGGAAAAGAGAACTAGTTCAACCTCTCCCAAAAATAGCATGGTAGTGCACACCTATAATCCCAGCTGCTCAGGAGGCTGAGGCAGGAGAATCAAGGCCAGCCTCAGCAACTTTAGTGAGACCAGCTCTCAAAAAATAAAAAAGGACTGAAGAAGAAGCTTACAGAGTTCCTGGGTTCACTTTCCAGTACCAATAAAATAAAATTAAAAAGTAGGTTTACAGAGAATTAAATATATTCAGACTTATAAACTGAAGAATTATCTTAGGAATCTATCCTAAGGAATGATGATGAAATGTCAATAAAATAAGATCATAACCTCCTCTATAACAAAATCCTCCACATACCATCCTCTATAGAATGAGGATAATTGTTTCTGTTTTGAAGAAAATTAAAGCAACATGTAAATTAAATACACCTAATTACATATACTAAGAACCATAATCAGATCTAATAAGCAAATATTTCCAGATTGTTAGGTTGTAGTTTAATTCTATCACCCAAACTCAAAGGGAAAGAGAGACACATAAATACTCATCAAAAATGAAATAGCTGTGCACAAGCTCTACAGTGCTGTTCAATAAACTTTATAGATGACAGAAATGTTTTAAACCTATATAGTCCTATATGGTAACTACTAGCTAGAGTTAGTCATTGAGCTCTTAAAATGTGGCTAGTGTGACTAAGGTCACAACTAGCCACGTTTTAAGATTTTTAATTTTTAATTAACTGCAACTTAATAATACATGGCTTTTTAAATTTTTAATTAACTGCAACTTAATAATACATGGCTAGTGACTTCCTTATAGGCCAACACAGTTCTAGAGCTCTAGTTCTTTATTTTGTTTATTTTTATGTGGTGCTGAGAATTGAACCCAGTGCCTCACACATGTTGGGCAAGCGCTCTAACACTGAGCTATAGCCCCAGCCCTTAGAGCACTGGTTCTCAATATTGACCCTACATTAAACTTATTTGCAATCACAGATGTTAAGATCGACTTCCAATCAACTAAGAATCTCCTTGGCAAGACCCAGGCATCAGTATTTTTTTTTTAAAGCTAATAGATTCTAACGTGCAACCAAGGTTGAGAACCACTTTCTAAAAATCATATCTGGATGTGAATCTTAGTTTGGGCTTACTAAAGTATATTGCCTAAGCTGAGTTAATTAAATTCTCTAAGCCCCAGTTTCCTCACCTATAAATAAAGAAAAATATAAAACCTACTTCATAAGGATCTTGTGTGAAAATTAAATACAATAATGTGCATAAAGTTCTGACAAAGTAGTTATATCTGGCTATAAATGTTAGCTGCTATTATTATTCCAGAACAATTTTGCTGCTATTTATAAGTTTGAAGAAATCACAGTTTGAAACAAAGTATACTCTTAGTAGCATGTACAGACCTGGGATTGGACCCAGGAGTGCTCTCCTCTAAGCTATATGTCCAGGCCTTTTTATTTTGAGACAGGATCTCACTGAGTTGCTAAGGCTGGTCTGGAACTTGTGATCCTCGTGCCTCAGCCTTTCAAGGAGCTGGGATTACAGTCATGCACTGCCACACCTGGCTCTAGAGACTTTTAATAAATACTCATCAAAAATGTAGATAATATCTCAACACTGGCTAACCGTTAAGAAACCATTTATACCATGAAAACTATTATGAAATTTTCCAAGGGAAATTATGTCCTTGGAATGGTTATTACAGGGCCTTCTAAAACGCTATGAAATGAACTGCTCAAAAGGAGAAATTCTTGCAATTTTGTGAAAGGGAAGAATGGACACATGTCCCCACTACTTCTGATCAGGTACATGAGAAAGAACTACATCCACTGACTTATATGGTGAGTGCAGCTTCCCCTATCAGACATGGATGGAATATTTTCTTCCTTTTTAATGCTTAAAGTCTCTAACTGCTTTACCTTCTTATTTTAAGAGATTTATCAGAAAAGCCTAGATGAACTCATAAAATAATACACAAAAGGCCTCACACTGCAGCAGCACCACCAACTTTCGTGAATATAACTATCATCTAGTTCCTCAGAAGATATGGGAGGAATGAGATCCCATTCATTTCTTGGAGCAAACAAATTCAGGACAAATATGCTTTTGAGAACATAAAAAGTAATGCTGAAAGGACAAAGTAGCTCCTTATCCTTGGGATGCTCTCCCTAATGACCAAGGTGTGACCAGTGAATATCAAATATCATTATGTCACCATCGTCAGTGTGAATAGTTGGTGTGTGAAACCATATTTGGATTAGATTATATGTTCCCTTCTCTAACCTTAATTTGCTCAAGTAAATTTTGTTTATTTTAATCACAAAGGTTAAAATAAAAACATTTTTAAAAACCAATTTGGGAAATATATGAACTGGCAAACTATTGCGATAGTAGGAGCAAATGTGACTCCATTTTGTTTTATGACTTCATCCTGTAAAACAACCATGCCAAGTAGAAGGGTCATGACTGGGGCAAGATGTTCTTTTCCTTTTGCTATAGAAACCTTTAAGAACACAGAACTACCTAATGGGGTATTGTTTCTGTAACTAGGGTAACGGGGCTCTGTTTCTGTAACTGGGGTGACTGGGCTAACTGTGATTGGTTAGGTTTCCCTCCGCTTGACTGCTTCTGTAACCTGGCTTGCTTGCATTGGCTAGACCCCCTGAACACCCCTTTTGCGGTTTTCAGGCTTATAAGGAGTGCCCTTGCAATTGTTCGGGGCTGATCAGGGGAACAGCTTTATGTTCTGGTCAGCCGCCACTGGTGTGCTTCAATAAAGGCTTGATTCGATTATACATGAGTGGTCTGGAAGTCAGTTTATGATACCCCGGGATGAAGCTTTAACTATAACACTATAGTTGAAAACCAAGTGATTGGTTCTATGACTTTTTCATGTTTACATTTGGAAGCATCCCATTTTCCAACAGGCTTTTTTTTTTTTTAATTTTGTTTCAAAGCTTATTTTGTACTCTCCCAGACATTGCTTGGGAAAAGAAAAAAGGCTTTAATATCTCCTGCCCCATAAAGCTAACATTTTGTTAAATGTGGTGTCATAGGTAGCCCATTTATCAGTTACTGTTCAGGAGAAATTCCTACGAGAATAAAGTTCAAATAAATAAAAGTTCACACAAAATTAAAGCCTAAAATGATTGTTTCAGCCAACAGACTTAAAGTGAAGTACAAGGGAAATAGATACCCTGGTCCCTCCCTGTGAGCTCTGGATCCCATTTCATCCCACCTCCTAAGCAAATTTATTCTACCAATGATCATCCTCTTCATTAAATATGTCCTGTAAGGATTTGAACATACTAGAGTCTCCACCATCAAAAATAAAAATATTCCCCGAACCCCACTTCCACCTTCAGCTGCTGCCTCTCTCGTGTCTACACAGTGTTACATTTTCAACTCTCAAGTTCCACTCAACCAAGCACAATTAAGATTTCACCTCCATCACCCCACACAGAAATCTCACAGTAACCTCAGCAACCTCCGGACTGCTACACCCATCGGGCTCCACCTCTCACTTCCTCCTGCCAGCCAGCCACCCCCTCTCCTTTGTGCGACCCCGCCCCTCACCTTCAGCTCCTCTACCACCTCATTACCACCTCATTTATTTTGCTGTTCTTCCTCTCTCTCCAGACATTTGTCTTCCTTATCCCTGGGATGCTCTCCCTAACCTTCAATACATTTATGCTCCCAGATCTTATTTCTAAATGTCTTCCTTTCTGACCCTGAACTCTTCCCATGGCTTCAAATGCCAGATATACTCCAAAAAATTCCACACTTACTCATTACTAGTCCTGACACCTCTTCTAAACTTCAGACCTCTTAGTTAACATGCCCCAAAGGAAACTCATCATCTTCCTTTATAAGCCCCACTCAAACATCTACACCCCAGAAATCAGCACTGCTCTTTACCCATTTGCTGATGCTAGAAACCTGAAAAACATTCCCCGTCACTTATTTATAGCAAGTCTTCTCAGTTTCCTCACCAAAATGCACCTCAAACTCATCTAGCTCCCTCCACATATCAATGAAAATTATAGGAAGCTATGAGAGCATAATATGGGGGTTTCGTAGAAGATACTGGTATCTTTATGTTCTAGTTTAATCCATCTATAGTTCATCTGTACTTCAGTTTAATCCATCATAGTTCAGGCCTCTATCATCTCACACATATCACCCCAGTCTCATCCTAACTATTGACCTCCCCACTTCTCTGGCCTCCTACAACCCCTTCTTCACACAGCAGCCACAGAGATCTCATAAGATTATCTAATTATGCTACTTCCTGCTTGAAACTCTACCAGGAAGTGACACACATGGACCCTAAAACTGCCAGAGGAAAGTTGTCAGGAATAGGATAGTCACATGGTGCCAAAGATGACCCACAAGTTAATTTCGAGGTTAAAAATGTATCTTTTAACCTACAAGGGAGGCAGTGGTCACCACTTAACCAAATGAACACACTTATCACCACTAACAGTAGGACATCCTAGCATTCTATGTCTCCTGACCTGAAAAAAGAAGATTCACAATACCACCTACAAAGCATACTGCTTTTAAAGTAAAAAAAAAAAAAAAAGAAAAGAAAAAATGGGTTTAGAACCCAAACATATTAGTAAACAAGACACAACAGATATCCCTATCTCTATACACCATTTGCTTAAAGATGAAGCAAGTGAGAAAAATATGGATTAAATATAAGCCCATGCCCTCTGTTAAAACAACACAAATGATACTTATTAGAACAATGATCCTGTTAACCATAGCTTCTTTCATACAGAGAGCTTATGTATAAAATTATAGTGGAGGGGTTAAGGGTGTCACTCACTGACAGTGCACGTGCTTAGCCTGCACAAGGTCCTGGATTCAAACCCTAGCACCAAAGGCAAAAAATAAAATTACAGTGGAGAAGGCAATTTAGTATGTATGTGAATCCACATGATTATCTATATAATAAGGATATAATGAAGTGGCTCTTTTATATTTCATTTTCAGGATCCATATTGCTGAACAATAACTAAATTTCAGCTAGAACTTGAGTATAGTGGAATAAATTGATAAATACAACCCTGGTTCTACCTGTATGGTTGGTAAAAACACACAGAGTCAGGTATTTGCACAATTTTTCTTGGTCTTGACGATAATCATATCCAAAGTTGATGAGTCTGAGAAGATAAAGGAAAAATTGAATGCATTAAAAATACATTCCCTCATAAATGATATAAGTGACTCCTGTAATGTAGAAGTAGAGATGTGTCTCTGAGATATTTAAGTAGATAACTTTTTTGGTCAAAAAATGCTGGACAACAGTATTTTTAAAAAAATACATGGTACATAAACAGTGTGGGATGAGCAAGAGAAAAATAAATATTACTTAAAACTTACATTTTTATATTTTTTTGTAATTTAGAGATATATTTTGAAGCATATGTTTCTGAAGAAGCACAACTAAACATTCATATGATTAGAAAATCTAGTGAAATACATCACAGCTCAGGATTATCATTACTCTAATTCTTGAAGACTTTCATTCGTTTTGATGGCCTTATGTTTGTTTTTTCCAAAGAGTCTGAGGCTTTTACTACAGGTAAAGTATGTAGGAATAAAAATTAAAGCTTGCCTTCTTTGTAAGAAGGAAAGCAGAAAAGCAGAGCTAGAGACTCAGCTGAGCCACAAGCAGATTGACCTGTTACATCCTCTCGAGGGCAACATGGGTTTTGATGTTTTTTTCTAAATGCAGCTCCGTGGCCTACAAATCTTTGTATTTAATCATGAGGAAAAGGGTACTTCCATACATCAAAATAAGTTGAGATGTGCCACAGAAATAAATGGCTAATAAAATAAAAAAGTCGACTTTACATGTAAAATCTCATGTCTGTGCTAGATAGTTATTTATAGTCCCTATAGAGAACAGGAATATAAAATAAGATACACAGACTATCAAACTGACCCTTTATTTGCATATCATGAATTAGGAATATAACCATTTTGACCAAAAATATCTATAAAAATAACAATTTATTAATAACTTAATTGAAGACTTTCGTTTGTTTTGATGTATTTTTTTTAATACTGTTGTCCAGCATTTTTTTGACCAAAAAAGTTATCTACTTAAATATCTCAGAGACACATCTCTACTTCTGTGGGTACATTACAGGGATCACTCACATCATTTATGAGGGAATGAATTATTTAATTACTTAAATAATTATTTAAGTGACCACTTACTTAAATCCTGAGTCACTTAATGATATGTCCAAAGGTGCTTCGAACTGTTTAAAAAGAGAGAGAGAAAATGACACTGAGTGTTGACAGGCCGTGCTCACCTGTGATGAGAAGACACTTAACCATCCTCATCCTCAGAGCTGACACCCACACGCATGGCACAGGAAGCGCACGGGAAATATTCTGGAGTTTACATACAACCACAAGCTTGATGTATACTTTCTTTCTTGAAGAGCTAAGGCTCGGCAAACTTTGCCTTGGATCCAAATATCATAAATGGATTTGTTGTACAATAGGCCAATGAGAAGCAATAACCTTTTACAAGACATGAATGACCACGTAAGGCAGGCTAAGCCAAAAAACGGCAAAAGGAGTAAATGAAATTCCTGGAATGGCATGAAGCCAATCCATACTAGACAGTCAAGGAAGAGGAGGAAGGATCATCTGTTGTGGAGAGCCGTGATTTGAATCATGGTCTTTCTGACTCCCTCGTGGCTGCCTTTGCTTTGGGAACTACCTGTTCAGGTCAAGATATCCCAGTTGCTATGGTGACACCTGTGCAAAGGCTCAGATTTATCAGTTGGGACCTTGAGTTCAAGCACCAACTCCCAGGGACAGAAAATTCTGAGCATAACAAGATGACCCTAATGTCTTGCCAGTCCTTCATCCTTCAGATTGTCTGCTCTGCTAAAACTTTCCCACAAATAACCTTTTGATGACAAAACCTATATAATAAATGTGCTAAGTAAGCCAGCTCTGAGTCAGTCAAGCTCCATCAGAGCTTTTCTGTGTGTGCATCTATCTTTTCTTTACTCCCCATTGCCCCTTATCTGGTTTCTTAATTAATGGCTATGGCTGAGAGATGAGAGAGTCATGGCAATCCATCCCATCTAATGACATTGGGGATGCCTAATGAGGCTAACACTTTCAGTAGCTTTCCTGGGAGTAATGCTAGAGTTTTTCTAATTAAACTGTACCCTCTTACTGGCTCTCCTTATTTTCAAATCCAAACTCACAAGTCCTTTCAGGTCAAATCACTTGCAACCACTTAAAGTCATCTACTGTAGACCACACTTACTATGAGTCCCACTCTTATGCTTATTCCTATAACATGGGGTACTTAGTAGGGACTTCCCGCCGGTGCTCTTCTCACCCATATTAAATATGCATTTGTTATAGAGCTGAAGGCTTAAGATGGCAGGACCTATTTTACTTCCTCATCCAAGTGACTAGCCCAACATTAAAAAGGCTAAAATGTTGTTCATGGTGGCAACTCTTAAAAGGGAGCAACATGTTATAAAATTTCCTACAGCTGATCATTCTGGACTTACCATTAAATCACAGCTCTGATCAGCATAAAACTGGAGGCACTTTAAGATACTCCTTGATTTCTATAAGAGAAAACATTGTGACATAGTATCCCCCATGTTCCCCCCCTCACACACACACACAAAAAACACAACAAAATACCTTAGGAAAAGAGGGAAAAGAGAAAGAGAAAAGAAAGCAGTGAACAAGTAGTAACAAAAACTTTTTCATTATTTTTAATAAACTTCTGCTGACTGTTCCCACCAACGAAAATGTAGTGATTAATAAACTTTAGTGATGCTAATGGCAAAATAAAATTCTTCCTATAAAAACGAGTTTTTACCTCCAGGTCAATGTAGTATAATCTCTGCTCTGACATATCCCACTGAGTCCAAACAAAATCCTCAGCTATTCTGTCTCTTGGGATATGGTCAGAATTTTTAATTACCTAAAGAGGCAAAAAAAGATTTTATAAACATTGTTTATAAGATCATATCTGGAATTATTTTGCATATTTCATCTCTGTGATATGTGTGAATATTTCTACTTTATTGTTAGCACCTCCTGCACCCCAGCACACACAGTCTTTCCAGGAAAGTTAAGATGTAGTTCCCCAAAAAATACTCTAAAATATACTATTTTATTCTTGTTCCTAGTTTAGTGGACAGGTCAGGATTTTTGGAGGCAAGACTACACCTACCTAAAAATCAATAGCTGCATTAATAGAAGATTCACAATATCCTGCTGTGGACATAAGCCCCTCCGTCAGACCTCAGCAGAGTAGAAGGCCTCACTACCAAAGACAGAGGTTGTGATGCCAAGAAAACACTCAGGCCTGAACACAGGAAGTTCTGCCATGACCCCTATCTGGCCATGACTTGGGGCATGCTTCTATGTCTTCCACAACCAGTGTGATGACATTGCCCATCTCTCAGCAATTCTCAACTACTCATCCTTCAAGACGTGACTTGGGCGCTGTCTCCAACACAAAGTCTTCCCTCCCCTCACCAAGATGAAGGCAAAGCTCCTCCCCTCTGTATTCTCTGGTGCTTTGGCATCTTCTATTATAGTGACACTTTAATTAATAATATAAGCTTCCTCAAGTGAGCCTGCATTCTTTACGGCACCTTTATTTTTCCATATCTTGATTATTTCTAGCATGGAATAGCATTCAAGGAATGCTTATTCAAAAGAGAAAAATCAGGTGTGCAAAGTCAAACTGTTCAGCATAAAATATGTGTTTACAAGTAACAAAGTCAGAACTATAGACATTTAAAATTTGAGGATTCCAGAAATCATCTAATTCAAACCTCTGCTTTACACTGGTGAGAAACCTGAGACCCAGAGAGGTAAGATTAGGAAGGCTGTACAGTTAGTTCAGCAAGACCCAGAATCCCAACATCTGGCACCCTGCCAGTACCCTCTGGACACCCCAGCCGACTTAAAAATAACTGAAAATGAGTTGAGAATTCACTTTCCAGGGCCTGGGGATGTCATTTCAGTGGTATGGTGCATGCTTCGTGTGCAGAAGACTCCAGGTTTAATTTACTTTCCTCAAAACATTTACCAGGCAAAAATAATCTACACTGAGAGATGAATAAAAAATGAAGACAGGTTAAGATAGAAGAAATGAAGAAAAAGGAGATCATCAGAATGGTCCATATTCATGCCTAACCTCTAATCCTAAAAGGAATCTCTTCGCAAAAGCTAATTTGGAACTTGAGGGAAATACAAGGCATAGAGCATATCTCCATTTCTTGCTTGGTAGGTCCATTACATTTAGTCTATAGGAAAGTGACACTTGACAAAGGATCCAAGAGCACACATCTTTTCTAAACCTCTATATGTATCCTATTTCCTTTTTTTTTTTTTTTTTTTTTTTTT